AGAACCCTTCTCTTGCTCCAAGAACATGCCCCAAGCAATCCTGCCTATTGCCGACATTTGTATACAGATGAGTTCCTGCTAGAGAACCACCTTCAAGCTCAATAATTCTCTAGAAGGACCCGCAGGACTCAGAAAATCGGTTAAACACTGTGATTATGGATCATTTCAACAAAAGAATACAGATCAAAATCAGCAAGAAAAGGAGCACAAGGCAAAGACCAGGCAAAGTCTGGGCTAGGCTTCCAGGTGTCCCTTCCCAGGAGAATTACACAAGGATGCATTTACTTCTTCCAGCAATGATGTGTGACAACACACGGGAGGGGTTGCTAACCAGTAAGGCTCCCCTGCACCACAGTGTGCACGGTTTTTATTGGGGACCAGTCACGTATGCATACAGCACCCCTGCACCTGACCTCAGCTACTCCCAGTCCACCACCACCACCCCGCTTCCTGAGCCAAAACAAAGGTTCCCCACTAATCCCATTGCTAGGGCAGACTTAACCTGGCCACAGTGGGGCAGCATGGGCTCAAGCCTACGCATACAGAAACTCTTAGCGCAGGCAGCCTCCTCCGTGGGCTTAGAGGTTATCTTCTGGGGGCTGGCCACTCGCCCGCCTTGATGACGGGCCCTGCTCGGTGCTGTGTAGGGCCTGAGTAACCCTTCCTTGTCCACTTCTGTGTGCATATCTTTAACTTCTAAATTTCCAGTTTTTATGTCTGATTGCTATGGGACATCTCAATATGTCATAGGCCATTGCATATTCAGCCTGTACCAAACTGATTACAACATGGTACCACTGTTATTTATCCTTCTTATTTTCCAGATGCCCACTGACATTCTTGACTTTGCTGATATACCTCCCCCCTCTAGGATATTACCATTTCTGATAAAATTAAACATAAATAACACCAAATCTACCTTTCCTCATCCTCCCTGCCACTTCCCTACTCCAGGTTGTCTTTACCATGTACTAGAATTAGGAGTTTCCATCTGGAATTTCTGCCTCTAGTGTGCTTTTTTCCATTTAATATCTTTATGGAAATATAAATCACATAGCATAAAATTCACTCCTATAAAGTATACAATTCAGTGACTTTTCGTGTATTCATAGAGTTTCACAGCTGTCAAAATAACCTAAGACCATTTTTATTACCCCCCAAGTAAACCTCGTCATGAACAGTGGCTTCCCATTCTTCTTCCTTCCTAGTCAACCACTAATTTACTTTTTTGCTTTTTACACAGCCTTTATGGAGATATAACTCACATACCCTACAATTCACCCATTTAAGGCATACGGTTCACTGGGTGATTGTGCATTCACAGTTATGCAGCCATCAACACAATCTGTTTTTAGGTCTTCATCATCCCTCAGAGCAGCCCCATACCTGTGGGCAAGCACTCCCCATTCCAGTCCCCTACTGTCCCACTTCTCTGTCTCATGCCACCAGTAATCTGTCTCTATGGATTTGCCTGTTTTTGACATTTTATGTAAAACGGAACAGTATGTGTAGTCTTTTGTCCTACCTTCTTTCACTTAGCATACTGTTTTCAAGGTTCATTCAAGCTGCTTTTCATTGCTGGATGATATTTGATTGTATGGATATGCCATGTTTTATTTGTCCATTTTTTATTAGTTGAAGCCTTTGGTTGGGGTTATTTCTATTTTTTTATAATATTTCTGTTATTTTTTTGGCTATTATCAAGAATGCTGCTGTGAACATTCATGTACAGATTTTTAGGTGCATGTATGTTCTCACTTTCTTGGGTATGGCCTAGGAATGCAATTATTAGGTCACGTGGTAGCACTGTGCTTAACATTTTTGAGGCAGTGCTAAGTGGTTTTCCCAAGTGGCTGGACCAGTTTTCATTGCCTCCAGCAAAGGTGTAAGGCTTCCATTATCTTCAGTGTTCTCCTTGTTATTATAGTACCACTTGCTAAAGAGACTGTTTGAATATCAATGTATAGAAACTTATGTCTAGGCTCCCAATTCTATTTCATTGATCTTTATGTCTACCCTTTAAGCCAGCACTACACAGTCTTTGTTACTATGGCTTTGTAGTAAGTTTTGAAGTGGGAATATATTAGTCTTCCAACTTTGTTCTTTTTTCTTAAAATTGTTCTGGATATACGAGGTCCCTTGGATTTTCATATAAATTTTAGCAAAGAAGGGTGCCTGGGTGACTCAGTTGGTTAAGCGACTGCCTTTGGCTCAGGTCATGATCCTGGAGTCCTGGGATCGAGTCCCACATCGGGCTCCCGGCTCGGCGGAGAGCCTGCTTCTCCCTCTGACCCTATCCCCTTTCATGCTGTTTCTCTCTCTCTCTCTCTCTCTCTCTCTCTCAAATAAATAAATAAATAAATAAATAAATAAATAAATAAATAAATAAAATCTTTAAAAAAAAAATTAGCAAAGAAGCCAGCTGGGATTTTGATGGGGATTTCCTTGACTCTGTAGATCAATCTGGGAGGTGGGAGAGCAGGGCAGGGATATTGTCATCATAACAGTATTAGGTCCTCCTATCCATGAATATTGGGTATCTTTCCATTTACTTAGGTTTTAAAAAATTTCTTCCAACAGTATTTTGTAGTTTTCAGCGTACAAATCTTGCTCTTATTTTAATTTATTCCTAAGTATGCTGTTCTTTATGATACTGCTGTAGTGCAGTTCTTTTTTTTTTTAAGATTTTTTTATTTATTTGACAGAGAGAGACACAGCGAGAGAGAGAACACAAGCAGGGAGAGTGAGAGAGGGAGAAACAGGCCTCCCACGGAGCAGGGAGCCTGATGCGGGGCTCGATCCCAGGACCCTGGGATCATGACCTGAGCCGAAGGCAGACGCCTAACGACTGAGCCACCCAGGCGCCCCTGTAGTGCATTTATTTTCTTAATTTTATTTTTGTATTGTTCATTATTATTGTAAAGAAATAAATTGATTTTGGTATATTGATCTCATTATATCCTGCTACCTTGTGTAATCTGATTATTTAATAATGTTTTTGTGGATTCTTTGTGATTTTCTATATACAGGATTATGCCATCTATGAATAAAGGTTGTTTTAGTTCTTCCCTTCCAATCTGAATACCATTTATTTCTTTTTCTTACATTATTGTCCTGACTAGAACCTCAAGTATGATGTTGGTTAGAAGGGGTGAGAGTAGACATCCTTGTCCTGTTCCTTATTTTAGGATGATTCTTTTACTTTTTTACTATTAAATATGTTGACTATGGGTTTTCCTAGTTGTTGAGTGTTTCCATCATTAAAGTACTGGATTCTTCTCTCAAATGGTTTGTTTTTTCTGTATTAAAATGACCATTTTTTTGTTCTTTATTCTATTATTATGGTATTACATAAATTGTTTCTTTATGTTAAACCAACCTAGCAATTCTGGTATAAGTTTTACTTGGCTCTTGTGTATATTTCCCCCTTTTATTTTGTTTATGCTGTTGGATTTGGCTTCCTAATTTTCTTCGAGAGCCTTTGTATCTTAAATTCATAAAGATATTCGTCTATAGGTTTCTTTTCTTGTAATGTCTTTGTCTGTTGTGGTACCCACACAGTTCTGGCTTTATAGAAACAGTGAGGAAGTACTCCTTCCTCTTTCATTTTTCTGGAAGTTTGTGAAGGATTAGCATTAGTTCTTAATTATTTGTAGAATTCACCATTAGAGTCTTGTGGGCCTAGGATTTTCTTTGCAGGACATTTACTGAGTATTAATTTAGTCTCGGCTTATCTGTCAAATTTTCTGTTTCTTCCTAAGTCAGTTTTGGTAGTTTGTGTCTTTGTAGGAATTTATCCTTGTCATTGTGTCATCTTAGCTACCTAATTTGATGGCATACAATTGTTCATAATATTTCTAAAACATAAACTTAGATACGCAACTCTGCTCCTTAAAACTATTAAGTGCTTTTTAGTACCTTTAATTTTAAACCTTTAAAGTTATATTTAAAATGACTTAAGGCTTTGTTTAATTTGGTTTCTGCTTTTCTCTCCACTTTGAGACCACACCCCCCCCCCCCACACACACACATACACACCCCAAGTCATTCTTATAATTCAGCCATAGAGCACTTCTTCCTGTTCCCTAGACACCATTTCTTTAGGTCTTAAACTATGCTTTTACCTCCAACTAGAGTACTTTATTGCCGCTTTTCTGGTATTTAGTTCATACTCATCCTTAGATGACACTTCTTATAGAGAAACCTGCTCTTATTGCCCACAGCTGAGTTGGAGGAATTTCCTTTTTGACCATTTAGACCTGAATTTTTCTTTTATTGTGAAACAGACCACACTTTTATTTATTTATTACATGTCTTTCTTGATGACTCTTGAATGGGGTTAGAGATATTCAGGAAAGGAGGAATCAAGGATGACTCTCAGGGTTTCTCAGTTCAATATTTAAACAATAATGTAAGATAACGAAGAGCACGTTTCCAAGAGTAAGATGTTTTGGAAATGGTGCATTTTTGGAAATGGTGCATTTTTCTAGTATATTCAAATGGAAATGTACAAGAAGAATGTGTACATGTGGTTCTTAATTTCAGTAAAGCTATCCTGTGGTATGTATGTCTTCCTGCTTTGTCAGGTTGTGTGCTCCTCGGCTGCAGGGACCTGGGCTTGCTCCTCGGGCTCTGTTGGTGGCCCTTCACAGATCTCAGTAACTACTCGTTGAATTGAGTTGTAAATAACAATACCATGTGTCTGTATATCATATTTTAATTTTATTGTAAATATCTTACTTGGAAAGTAGGCCCAGCGGAAGGAGTAATGGCTGATTGTAGAAAATTTTAGTTTGGGAAAAATCCTGTTTTGGTTTTCTTTTTCCTTTTTACAACAATTAATTGATGCATTTTCATTTCAACAATCTCAAATCTTATTTTATGAATTCAACTATTTCCCTTGCCCTTTTTTTTCTTTTAAAAATTGTTCTATTCTTGTCCTAAATACTTTTGTATTTTTCACATGAGGTGAACTATGTTCTCTTCTGTCTTCTGTGTAGGACTATAATGACGAAATCAGGCAAGCACAGCTCCAAGAATTAACATACTTGAACGGTGGTTCAGAAAATGCGGATGTACCTGTTGTTCGAGGGAAACCCACCTTGCGTACAAGAGGTGTACCAACCCCAGCAATAACCAGGTAGGTGTAATTAATTGACTTAACATTTTGTTGTTAGAATAGGGTACCAGGGCAACAGTTTTAATGTCTGCTTTATTAATAGTCAAGCAGCTCTATCAGTGTATCAGTACAAAGCCTGCAAGAATATATTCAGACATTATGATGTCGTAATTAAGGGGATTCACTTTGCTTGGACTGAGATCTTCCTGGGTTTCAATAGAAGCTGTACCACTTAAGTGGCTGATGACTGTAGACAAGTTTATTTATCTCTCTAACATTAATTTTTTAATTTTTTAAAATGAAAATTGTTTTAAAGTAATAGTATTGATATGCAAATTGAGGTCCTGGAAGCATGTGCCTTCCCCATTGAGTGTAGGATTAGGCCAGTTCTTTGCCACATCTCCAGTGTTGAGCACAATGTCAGGCACCAAGTGAGTATCTAAAGCCTGTTGTCATTTTATTCACTGAGAATGCTCTGTGGTATCTGAAAACTCCTCAGCTGGTCCAGGTACACGGAATTTTTTTTCTGTCTTTGGATTGATGACTACTTTTAATATGAAAAATGTTTTAATGAATTCATAAGACCGTTTAAGCAAAACCATATATTGAGATATGACTATTTCAGATTTATTTGAAAAATTTTAATTTTTTAATCTTTGCATCCAAAAGAACTCTGTAGAAAGAAGTAACACAGATTTTTCACTGGTGACTGTATATATTTTTCCAGATAGAATTTTGCATGAAATAACTTAAAATAGCATTCTTTTATATCTCCAAGTTCATTTGTGGGGGAATAAAAAGTCAGTTTTCTTATTGAGTGTTGCTGATCAGTGTATGGTCAAAGAGAGCAATTACAAATAGGTGTTATTGCAGTGTAAAATAAACAGATCTGCTCTGTACCAAGTGGATTTTCTCTATAAAAAAGGCTAATAATAATGGGATCGCTGTTGATGGTTTAATGATATTATTTAGGTGTTCAGTAAATGGTAAATCCCTTTCATTTTCATTTCTTCTACCATTAAATTTACTTTAAATCATAAGAAATTACAATTGAACCTTGATCATTGTGGGGGATAGGGGTACTGACCCCTTGCATAGTCAAAAATCTGTGTATAACTTTTGACTCCCCCAAAACTTAACTAATAGACTACTGTTGACTGGAAGCCTTACCGATAACGTAGTCGATGAACACATATTTTGTATGTTATGTGTGTTAAATACTCTAATATTGCAAAATGTTACTAAGGAATTCATGAGGAGGAGAAGATGCATTTACACTACTGTATTTATTGAAAAAAACCTGTGTGAAAATGGAGCTGTGCAGTTCAAACCTGTGTTGTTCCAGGGTCGTCAACTGTACTTGCTTCATTAGTTTCCTGTGGCTGCTGGGGTGAATTACCACAAAGTTGCCGGCTTTAAACAATAGAGAGATTTATCACTTCTAGATGGGGGGGCTAGATGTCCAAAATCAGTATTGGCCAGACCACAGTCAAGGTGCTGGTGTTGCTCCCCCCTCTAGAAGAGTCCTTTCCTTGCCCCTTGCAGCTTCGGGTGCTGCCAACAAGCCTTGACTTGTGGCCACATCACTCTGGTCTCTCTGTCTGCATGTCGATTTCTGTCATGTCTGTCTTTCATCTCCATTTGCTTCCCTCTTCCACATGATAGCATTTAGGACCCACCGGGATGATTCAGAGTATTCTCCCATCTCAAGATGCTTCCGATAATCACATCTGCAAAGGCTCTTTTTCTAAAGAAGGCAACATTCACAGAATGAATCTCCTGAACAGAGGGCGTAGAGAAGAGAGCACACTCGGTGCCACTGTTGAGGGCACTTTTTAGGGGATGCTGTGTTCCTTAAACCAGATCTGTCATTTTGACTAAGATAATTTCTAATTTCCCTGTCAGTTTTTTTGTGTTTGTTTGTTTGTTTTAAGATTTTATTTATTTGTTTGTCAGAGAACGAGAGGGAGCACAAGCAGGGGGAGCTGCAGGCAGAGGGAGAAGCAGGCTCCCCACGGAGCAGGGAGCCTGATCCGGGGCTCGATCCCAGAACCCTGGGATCATGACCTGAGCCGAAGGCAGACGCTTCACCGACTGAGCCACCCAGGCGCCCCTTGCTGTCAGGTTTTAAATTAAGTTGAAAATGTTATGTTATGAACAGGTGAGGAAGGCAGAAGCTTTTTGGTTTTTAGATTATAGTATCTGGAGAAACACCTCTGTCTGCCCAGCTGAAAAATTATTCCTCTTGATGACGCATATACATTGCTTGCCATTGAAAGCCTTTCCATTGTCTTGACGGTGAATATTGTCTTTGCGGTGGAGTATGGCTGGTTAGCGCTCAGCACTGGGAAGAGCACTTTACACACACCCTGCCTTCTTTCCTCCATTTGGTTATGGGCTTCCTCAGTACCAGATCTTTCAAATACTCTGCTTTTTTACAGCGTAATATTCCTCTTCATAGAAGAGGTACTCAGAGCCCTCCTGTATTCTTTCTTAAGGCCTCACTCCGTTTAGTCTTTATTGATTACTTTGCCATATTTCCTGTGTGTTCCACCCCTGGCTGAAACTGCTTGTTTCATGAAGTTGGTGCTCATGTCCTTCCAATACGTTTGTTCTCATTATTCCTCTGCCCACAGTTCTGTAACCCTTCTCAGCCCCTTACCTGTTTACATCCTACTTCTCTTTGTGTCTCACACCAAAGCTTATTTTAACACTTCTACTGTTTCTACTATGGATTACTTTTCTAAGCATTTACAGATATTAACTAGGTTATGCCTCATATCAACCCTGTGAGGGGGGCACTGGTGTCTTAAGTCACCATTTTATAAGTGAGGGAGGTGATGACTTGTCCAAGATTTGTGGACCCTGGTTCCACAGTCTGTGCCTGTCCCCTGTCTTTGATCCTCCCCTTGGATTTCATCTAGAGTCGGGCTTTCTTCCATCTATTCTGGCACTGCATTTCTTCCATAGAGTTTTGATTCTGTCATGTTTACTGCATTTTTATTGCAGCCCATGATGGCACCTTTAATACAAGCTATGGTGAGCATACTTTTATGTTTTTTACTACTTTTTCTCATTAAATCACATATAGTAACTTGCCAAACTAATATGCACATCTCACAAATAAAAATAAATGGGTGTGGAAATTAGGACAGAAAGGTACAAAACCCTAAGGGTGAGGTTGGTACACAAGAGTACAGTCAGAGTTGGTCTTCGAATTATGCTTTGAGCTTCCTTGTAACTCAAGCCGAGGAAAACATGGGCATCAATTCACATTGTCTCAAGGTCTAAAAAAGTAATAAAACAGAAGACAGATGTACTCATCGAAGCCCAAGGCCTTCTGGTCCTCAGACCTGTGAGAAATCTCTCCAGTGTGCAGTCATCAGTAGATCTTTGCCATATCCAGTCCCTCAGTACACCATTTTGATTTTACCTCTGAAATAAACCTTAAGTCTGGTTTTCATTAATCACCTCTTCCATTCCCCCTAATCTAGCCACACTGCTCTTCCACTTTTAATTTGCAGTCTTGAATGACCTGTTAAAATTAGCTTTTGTCTGCTCCCTGCCTCAGTTTCTCTGGTGGCTCCCTTTGCAGCTACAAGAATACCCAGACTTCCTGCTGTGCCCGACAACACCCTCCTCTTCATCTGGCGATCTCCCTGCCCTTTCTGACCTTGTGGTTTTCTGCACTGTGGCCAGGCTGGTCTCCTAACCATCTGGTAAACTGGCCAAGCTTATTTCCCTCCGAGGCCCTTTGCATTCACTGCCCCCGCTGCCCCCACCTCGGGACGCTTTGTCTGGGCATCACATTGTAGGGAGACATAGGCACGTGTCTGGGAAGCCTTACTGATCGCCTTGCTGAGAGTCATCGTCCCCCAGTCCCACAGCTGGGGTACAGCATCCTGTCTCGGTCCCTTAGTAGCATTTATTACGCTGAATTTTGCCTTTTTTATTTGTTCACATTTTCATTGGCTTCTCCTCATTATAATGTAAACCTGTAAAGGCTCTTGTGTCCCTAGGGCCTGGCATAAAGGATTCAGTCAGTAAATAATTGTTAAGTGAATGTGGTACAATAGCAAATCCTTCAGGCTCTTTTTGATCCAAGTGTCGATCATTTACAGTGTTTTGTGTTAATGTAGTTCACTGTCCCATGACTAAATGTACTAGGGGAATAACTTTGTGGGAATGGTCACACAGTTGTCACCACTTAGGAATTTTAGACTGGAACAAGTTACTGCTGGAGTCTTCGTCAATGTTCTGCACTGTTACCACTTCAAGATACTTTTCAGCTGAAAGGTGTGAATGACCTAAAATTAAATCCTGCAGTGGGAAGTAGTACGTGTTTTAATAAAGCCTTCGTTTCAGTTCAAATGGGAGAACTAAACATCCCCTTTGTTAACTCAGGAGGTAGGGCGGTGTCCTTACTTCCGGTCTGTCCTGTGCGTGTCTCCAGAAGCACTGCTGTGAAATGTGGCGTCCCCCGCTCTTCACGCAGACCCCACAGAGAAGGAGGCTGTGGAGGTGAGGCCACTCCAGGCAGCATGCTTTGGACAGGTCCTCCCCGCCACCCTGACCTGCTGCCCCGCGGTCTGGCTAGGCGGTCTCGAACCCACGGGGATGCTCCCTCCACCCTTTCTTCAAAACAGCTGCCTTGTTGTGTGTTGCTTTTCTCCCGACCTTTACTCTGGCCATCTGGCCCTTCCTCCCAAGTAGCTGGCAGTCTTACCTTCCCTGCATTTGAGACCAGAAGCAGCAGGAAGAAGAGTGGACCAAGCAGGTGAAGCCTGCCTTTCTGAGGAGTGAGTATATGTTCATCAGTTCTGGCTGCTGAATGTGGTGGTTTTGACCCAGGACATGAAGCTGACACAGTGCTCAAGGCTTTTTATAAGCTTTCATTAAATTGGGGAAATTTTCAGCTCTGGTTTCTGTACATTTTTTCCCTGCCCTTTCCTTTCTTCTCTCGTGGACTGAAGTTCCACATTAAATCTTTTGGCTGCATTTCCCAAACTATATGCCAAGGT